GAACTCCCTCGGCCCTTAAATCGCAAGGTGTGGTAACCAAGCCCGTAAACCATACACGTCTTACCAATCGCCAGGTGTGGTAACCCCTCATGTGATCAGTTGGTTTTGCTGATTGCGAATCGGCTTCGCATGAAGTTTCGATACTGCTTCACGACAGCGCCAAGGCCTCATGACTTAGCTCTTCCATGGCCCATTCTCCGAGAGAGGGGGCCGGCGGCAGGGGGCGAAGCCCTTACGGATAATACACGACGCATAGGGAGCGATAAATAACGCATGCAAGCCTAAGGAACGACCGAACCCCTTTGGAAAGTAAGCGTTCTTTATTCAAGCCGCTCACTGTATCCCGTGCAATGATTTTGCGCAAAGGTTCTGGAGGATTCTGGGCGATTCCAAAATTGTGTTGGAAGGGCCCAACAGCTTCTCAAGGGTTCTCGCGAGGAGCAGAGCGTGGTGGTGGGGCGCGAGGGGGAGGGTATGAGGAGGCACTGCTAGCCTGGCGCAAGCGGCAGGGCTTGGGTTTGCTGGAGGATTCTGGGCGATTCCAAAATCCGCCGGCCCCCTTGTGGGGCCACCAGGCTGTAGGGCGAAGTTTCGCAATTTCCTGTACCGGTTGCAGCTTCCAGTTTCCACTGTTACAGTTCTGCTTTTTGCTGCTTACTGTTCCTTGTTGATGGACCGCGCGAAGGGGGGGAGGCCCAAAACGGGAATTTTTACCACGCCCTGAGCGTGTGCTCTGAATTGCTGGGGCGGGTAAACATTCACACCCCTCACGCAGGTCGGCGGGGTCAGGGTTCAAAAACATAGGGGATGTGCCACATTCCTGAAATTCGGTGGCACCCCTCACGCAGATCGGCGGGGTCAGGGCCCAAAAACACATGGGATTTGCCACATTTCTAAAATTTGCTCGCACCCCTCACGCAGATCGGCGGAGTCATGGTTCAAAGACACAAGGGATTTGCAATACTTCTTGCATTCGGTGGCACCCCTCACACAGATGGGCAGGGTCAGGGTCCAAAAACAAAAAGGATTTGCTACATTTCTGAAATTCGGCATCCCTCACGCAGATCCGTAGGGTCAGGGTCCAAAAACAGAAAGGGTTTGCCACATTTCTGAAATCGGGTGGCACCAGTGACGCAGATCCGTAGGGTCAGGGTCGAAAAACAAACATGTCCCGACACTGCTTCACGGCGGCGCCCAGACCTCATGATTTAGCTTTTGCATCTCCCATTCTCCGAGACAAGGGGCCGGCGGCATGGGGCGAAGCCCTTACGGTATCGTGTTGGAAGGGCCCAAAAGATTTTCAAGGGTTCTCGCGAGGAGTGCAGTGGTGATGGGGCGCGAGGGGGAAGGGTATGAGGAGGCTACTAGCCTGGCGCAAGCGGCAGGGCTTGGGTTTGCGCTGGAGGCAGTCCCAGCTGGCCTCAAACAAGCTCCACAGCAGCCCGAGGTGGTCTCAAAACAGTGGCACAGCCGCTGGCAATCGCCTCTGGTAGCACCCCGCGCCGGTGGGGTGGGGCTGTTGAGACCGCCCCTGAGCTACTGGGTCCTGATGAAGCCCGCCTGTACCACCTCCAGGGTCTATCGAGCCGAACCAAAAAATTCCGCGACATCGTGGCGCAATACTCGTGGGGCCCTACAGCTGAAAGCCCTACAGCTGCAAGCCCGGCACCTCGTCGACCAGAGCGTGGCGGGTGCCCAGGGTCGCATAGTGCGACGTGGCGCGGCGCGCCCCCCTGTCGCCCAGAAGTCGCCATGCGGCGATCAGGGCCGCGGAGCTCAGAGCTGCCGCGAAAGCCACAGCACAGCCCTGCACACGGGGCGGCGGCACTGCCTGCAGCACCCGGCCCGCCCTCCACCAGCCCAGCATCTGCTTCAGCCGGTCGGTGAGCGTCGGCGAGACGTCGTCCTCGCCAGCGTTGGGAGCGTCGCCTTCCACGACGCTCTCCTCGGCGGCGGCATCCACGGGTGCGGGCTCCTCGGGAGCGCCTTCCTCGGGGAGGATATCCTCGGGTGGTATAGAAACGAGGGCCCTGGGCTATCTGAGGGCCTGAGCTCAGGCCTTCGGACAGCCTGCTGCCCGCGATCGACCCGCGACCGACCCACATTGCTTTGACGGGGAGTTGGCGCCTGCAGCGAGCTCGTTGAGAAATGTGTAAACATTCACCGATTGCGGCGGGCTTCTTCAGAGCCTCGCAGACTGTCGACGACCCCGCCGCCCCCTCACCCTTACCCGCAACTGTAGGGGCTGTGGTATCTGAAAAGACGCCACAAGATCGCTTCTACACGCCCAAGATAGCCTCCAGACGGCCCACGAGGCCTCCAAGACGCCTCAAGAGGCTTCCAAGAGGCCTCCAAAAGGCCTTCCAAAAGAGTCCCAAGTGGCAGCGTTCATTGCTTTTCCGTTTGTGTTTGATGTTTCTTTCGCGTTTTCACCTTTTCAGCTTCCCCACGCTCCAACGCGGCCGAAGAGGCCCCCAAGACCGCTCCAAGGGCTCCCAAACAGCTCCAAAACAGCCCAAGAGAGCCCGTAGACTGCCCAAGAGGCCTCGAAGACGGCCCAAGAGGCCTCCACGACGGCTTCAGGAGAGGACCCAGACGGGGGACCCGAGCAGCCATTTCGAGCTATTTGCCCGAAGAGGCCCCCATGAAGCCCCAAGAGGCCCCGAAGAGGCCCCGAAGGGGCCCCAAGGAGCCCCCAAGAGGCCCTGGTGAGTCCCCACAAGGTGTCAAAAATACCGCCAAGAGGCCCCTGAGAGGCCTCCCACCCGAAAGCAGGATGCACAGTGTGCACCGAAAGACTCAAATCCTCAGACTGCCCCCGAACCGAACACCCAAAGAGGACATCCGCCACACCGGTCCAAGCTAAAGACCTACATGCCTAACGCACACAGCAGAGGCCCGCAACAACCTCCCCCAGAGGCGGCTCAACAGTGACTGTTTCAGCTCGCAGGCTCCCCACGCACCGCGCCAGAGAACAACTGCCGCTCAACAACACCACATTGACCACGAACACACGGGGAACCGCGAGCCGTCGAACGACATGGGCTGGCGGAGTGCTCTAAGCGATCACAGAAGTATGAAACGTACAGTGCGCGGCGGGGTGCCGGAAAGTTCGGAGTCGGCAGGAGGCTCACGCCCACCAAGTTCGTGAAGTAGGGATAGGAGAGTAGACCTACGGCAGGTTCGTGTCGTGCCGACCCTAGCGTTGGTTTTTGACACCGCAGGGATCGTTCAACCTTGAACGATCGGCCGCTGCCGCAACGTCCGATCGTTCCACATCGATCGATTCTGGGTCGCCGGCGGCGTTCAACCTTGAACGCCCGCGCTGGGGTCGCCGCTGGTCGTCACGACGCAAACCTACCGTAGGCATAGAGCCTGTGGGGTAGGGCTGGGGCAGACCTGTTTCCTGGATTATAGATGCCGTGGGTGTGGATTATTTGGCTGGTGCTTCCTCGGACGGCTTCGTGGGAGCTGCGGTTGGCCCGTCATCGTCGCACGACTGGACGAACCGGTCCGCGCCGTCTCCACCGTAGCAATGCTTGATGCGCACGTTCTTCCGCACCTTGCCCCCGTGCGAAATCATGCGCACGCCGATGGTGTCCTTGGCCAACTCTAAGTCCACAAAGCCATACGTGTCGTCATCACCGTCCTCACGCGGGATGTCCTCCGACGTAATACCACCGCCTCCGCCCGAGATGAGCACCGACGTGGGCTTCATGGGGTTCGCGTCGTCGTTATGCCCCCAGAACAGTTGGTAATGCAAGTGGCCTGTAATCCACCAAGCCCCGCCTGTCGGGGGTGAGAAGGCCCGTGGCATGAGGGTAGTCTGTTTTCCCTGCTCCTCGGTCGAAGATCCCGTTTTTTGGGAGGGCCCTCTCGGGCCCTGGGAGTCTCCAGATCAACCATCCGACGTGTCGAGCATGTCCAAGATGTCTTCCAGGGCAACTTCATAAGGTCTCCGACAAGCCCAGGAGGACCCCAGAAGAATCTCAATAGGCAGTAATGGGGCTCCCGCAACGACGGAAGAGCCCTCGAGAGAGAGAGCCCAGCCGATCAAAGTCATCAGCAAACTAAACGTTTTGCCATGTCCCTTCAAGACGCCCCCGAATGGCCCCAGACATTCTGGGCTACCAAGACCGCCGCAAGACGGCCCGATGACTCCCAGGCGCGGCCCAAAGAGTCCCCCAAACGACCCCAAGATCCCCAAAGGAACTCTAAGATGGCACAAAGAATCTCCAAGAGAGCCCCAGAGAGCTCCCCAGAACACCCTCCAGGGCCCCGCGAGGGCCGCGAGACATGCCCAACGCTTCGGCCCCAGTGGCCCCCTCGAGAGGGCGCAGCACAGAGGGAATGGTCACAGACACTTCTCCCACCATGCTGCCCACTCTCCCCCTCCTCCTCCTCCTCCTCCTCTTCCTCCTCCTCCTCCTCCTCCTATCCTCCTCCTCCTCCCCCTCCCCCTCCCCCTCCTCCTCCTCCTCCTCCTCCTCCTCCTCCTCCTCCTCCTCCTCCTCCTCCTCGTTTCGGGAACCGGGCGGAATGGCGCAGGCCGCGTGCATGATGAGGTCGATGCCGTACTTCTGTGCCAGCTCCTCCCAGGAGGTCCCGGGCTCTGGGGGGATGTGTGTCACCACGATGCGCCACGTCGCCTTCGACTTCGTGAGCTTACCCTTCAGCCAATCCACCTGCTCATCCCACAGCTTCGTGAAGTAGGTTGGGCACGAATGCACGGAGTCAGGACCACCAACGGCACTGCAATTCATGCCGTCTCCGTTGTGTTCCGTCGAACAAATGTTGTGCTTTGGATTCACTGATGGATCAGCACAAGAATGAGAGTTTGAGTCCAGAAAGAAGTAATCAACATCGAAATTGGAATACTTTACCCTGACATTCCAATACTGCGCAGGAATCCTCCAGCGCAGATCGACCCAACTCATTGTAATTATCTGAGACCAGCCGGTGTCGTATCTGTACCCGCCGTAGTCGTGATTCCCGAGCACCCCAAGCCAAGGTCTGCCCGCAAGCCCTGCCCCCGCGTACACGTTGTTGAAGACATTCGCCCACTGGTCGGACCACTCGATCGTCTGCATGCACGTCTTGTCGATACCTCCCCAGTAAAAGCTGTCGCCGACGTTTAGCACGTAATCAGGGTTGACCTCGAGCCCGAGCAAGTGCATCTGCATAGCCACTCGCTGCTGCGCGTCGTAGTCCACGGGATCTTGCAGATTGCCCCTGTTCTGTGCGGGCCGCGGCGGGTTGCCCGTACCGCCCCAGTCGCCTATGACGAACACGTGGTAAGGTCCCTCGCGCGAGATGCACACGTCCCTCAGCGTCGCCCCATTGTGCTGCTTGATGTCGTTATCTGGCCGCCCTTCTGGGACGTCGAACGTTCCACTGCAGTCGTCAGCGCCGATTCGCACCAGAAGCCAAGCACCCACGGACGCGATGATTTTCCCCGATCGAGCGATCGCCATCGCTTGCAGCGCTTGGCCCTGCTTGAGCCCAGATTGGCATGTAACGAGAATGATAAATGAGGGGGAATAGGAAGACGACGACTCGACTTTAGTCAGATTCGGGCTCCAGAGGTTTGGCTACGGCGAGACGAAGCCTACACCGAAGCGTGGGGGGGCAAGCACTCAGTGCTGGTGGCTCTAACTGCTCCGCGCAATGACTAAATCTTTGACTACTCGCCACCACAGTGCATCACTGCAAGGAGCTAGTGGTTTCAAAGCCCCCGAGATCGCCTCAAGACGCCCCAAAAAGCCCCCAAGAAAGCTCCAAGACGGCCGAGCCGGGCCCCACGATAGCCCACGAGAGCCCCAAGACAGCCCATACTGGAACCAAGAGGCCCCCCAAGGACTCCCAGCACAGACCCCAAAGGGCCATGGGAGGTCCCCGGAAGTGCACAAGATGGGTCCAAAGGGGGCTCCAGCGGGCCCAAGCTCCTCAAGACGGCCCAAGAAGGCCCCAGGACCGCCCATGAAGGCGCCAAAACGGCCCACGAGAGCCCCGAAAACACCCCCACGATGTTTCCGAATGCCAACGTAAAGACCCCCAAGGCACTCCAAAAAGCTTTCCAAGGGGCATTCAAACCACACAAATCGTCCAATTCCCAGCGTAAAACTTTGTTTAGCTTATTCGCCGTTCGGATTTCATCAGCTTTCCAGACGATTTCAAAGCCCCCGAGATCGCCTCAAGACGCTCCAAAAGGCCCCCTAGAAAGCTTCAAGACGGCCGAGCAGGGCCCCACGATCGCCCACGAGAGCCCCAAGACAGCCCATAATGGAACCAAGAGGCCCCCCAAGGGCTCCCAGCACAGACCCAAAAGGGCCATAGGAGGTCCCCAGAAGTGCACAAGATGGGTCCAAAGGGGGCTCCAGCGGGCCCAAGCTCCCCAAGACGGCCCAAGAAGGCCCTAGGACGGCCCATGAAGGCGCCAAAACGGCCCACGAGAGCCCCGAAAACACCCCCACGATGTTTCCGAATGCCAACATGCATTGATTTTGCTCCCATGACATTTCACATTGTGACCCAGTCGTTCAGGGTCTCGTGGCATGCAGCGAAGATGCCCGAGGATGCCCCGTACGAGTTGCATATGCATGTTCATACCCTTACACACATAAATACATATGTACATGTGTACGCTGTATACACACATACAACAATGTAAGTATATTGTATACACCTAGACATGTATACGGAACGTGCATGCACGTGCGCGTGTATACGTGCTTGCGCGCATGTACGCACGCACGCATTCCACTTGCGTGCAGAACTCACAGGACCAAGGTGCATGGCGCGCAGCGCCAATGCAGTCTTGCATATGTATATGTATACAGACGTGGTGTATACATATTTATATATACATATGTATGCTAGAACTATCGCGCGCTTCGCGCGCGCTCAAGCTCTAGCTAGGGTCATGATCATCGTCATCATTGTCATTATCATCCCCATGATCTTCATCGTCATCGTCATGGTCATGGTCACCTTCACCATCACAGCAATCCTCCACATCCTCCTCCTGCTCCTGCTCCTCCTCCTCATCCTCCTCCTCCTCCTCCCCCTCCTTGTCCTCCTTGTCCTTCTCCTCCTCCTCCTCCTCTCTCCCCTCCTCCTCTCCTCCTCCTCCTCCTCTCCTCCTCCTCCTCCCTCATCTCCTTCTCCTCCTCCTCCTCCTCCTCCTCCTCCTCCTCCTCCTCCTCCTCCTCCTCCTCCTCCTCCTCCCTTCTCTCAACGCACCCAATACACGGGTGCCTCCTGGAACGCGTGCCGGGAGCCTTTTTGAAAGCATTGTGGCAGTCTCTGGAGCCTCCCCGGGCCTTCCTTTGGAGTCCTTTTGTCTTTACTGGCCCGTCTGAGGGTCATTTCGGCCGTTCTGGGTCCCTCTTGGCTCGTCGTGGGGAGCTCAGCCCGTTTTTGGGCCGTCCTGTGGCCCTCTCCGACCATGTAGGAATCCTCTGGTGGCCCCCTCGGGCTTTCTGGGGGCTCTCTTGGGCCGTCTTGTAGATCTGCGGTGCCGCTTAAAGCTCTCTTCAGCCCATATTGGAACCCTCTTCGGGGCCTCTGGGGCTCTGGGGCCAATTTTGGTAACCTCTTGGGCCGTCGCGACCGCTGGTAGAACTGAGCAGCGAAGCTCCCAGAAATATACGTTTTTTTTTCCATCGGAAATGCTTGATTTTGCCTTTGGAGGGCCTTCTCAGCGGCCTCTTGGACAGTCGTGGGGGTGTCCTTTGGGCCTTTTGTGGCCCGTCTGGGAGCCCATTTCGGCTGTCCCAAGCCCCTCTTGGCATGTCATGGGTAGCTGAGCTGTCTTGGGGCCCTCATGGAGCCCTCTCCGACCATATAGGTAGGGATCCTCTGGAGGCTCCCTCGGGCCGCCTGGGGACTCTCTCGGGATGTTTTGGAGCTCTCTTGTGCTGCTCGACGCTCCCTTGAGGCTGTCTTGGAGCCCTCTTGGGGGCCTCGTGGACGGCGTGGCGCCGATTTGGGAAGCCTTTGGGGCCGACGTGGCCGCCGATGAAACATCAGAAGCGAATATCATAGAGATGTACGCTTTTCCATGGGAAGTTTTTTGCACCCGGGAGCCTTCTCAGCAGCCTCTTGGACCGTCTTCATGGAGTTCTGGTAAGCCTTTTCTGGACCCTCTGGGAGCCCGATTCGGCCGTTCCGGGTCCCTCTTCGCCCGTCATGGGGACCTGAGCCTGTCATGGGGACCTCGGAGGGCCCACTCCGACCATGTAGGCATCCTCCGGTGGCCCCCTCGGGGTTCCTGTCCCTCTGGGCCGTGTTGGAGCTCTCTCGTGCTGCTTGAAGCTCTCTCCAGGCTGTCTGGGGGCCCTCTTGGGGGCCCCTTGGGCCATCTGGGGCTCTTTTGGGAGCCTCTGGGGCCGCTGCGGCCGCTGGTAGGACTGAGAATCAACTATCTAGGAAATATACGCTTTTCCTTCCGAAATGCTTGAGTTTTGCCTTTGGAGGGCCTTCTCGGCGGCCTCTTCAACCGTCTTGAATGCCTTTGTGGCCGTCTAGGAGCAATCTTGGGCTTTATCGAGCGCTCGTGGCCCGTCCGGAAGCCATCTTAGTGCGCGCTTGAGCAACCTTCCAAACAACCTGGGGCGCTTTGGGCGCCTCTTGGGCCAGCTTGGGAGCCTTTGGGGTGGCCCGGGGCCCCCCCTGAACCCTCTTGGGGCACTGGGGGCCCCCCTGGCCCCCCATGCGAACCAATGGTCGCAGTTCTGGGCCTTCCCCCGACCTACTCCGACATATATATATATATATATATATATATATATATGTTCCTCTTCCTATATTTTTACAAGCCCGGGGGGGGGGGGGAAACCCTCACCCCCGGGATCTGGGGTTCTCGGGCTCCCTTGGACGTCCTTGGAAAAGGTCACCCGGCTTTCCGTGTCTCCACAAACGCCTTGCCAGCAGACCCAGAGCGATCCGAAGGGTCATCAGAAAGGCTCAAGGGAGGCCCCAGGCAGCACAAGAGTGCTCCAAGAGGGACTCCAATTGCGTCAGGACGGCCCAAAAGACCCCCAGGGCACCCCAAAAAGCCTTCCAAGGGGCCTTCAAAACACAAACATCGTCCTATTGCCTTCGTAAAACTTTCAATGTTAGTATATTCGCCTTTCGGATTTCATCAGCTTTCAGGACGGTTTCGAAGCCCCCGAGATCGCCTCGAGACGCTCCAAAAGGCCCCCTAGAAAGCTTCAAGACGGCCGAACCGAGAGGCCCCCCAAGGGCTCCCAGCACAGACCCCAAAGGGCCATGGGAGGTCCCCGGAAGTGCCCAAGATGGGTCCAAAGGGAGCTCAGGGGGCCCATGCTGCCCAAGACGGCCCAAGAAGGCCCAACACGGCCCATGAAGGCGCCAAAACGGCCCACGAGGGCTCCGAAAACACCCCCACGATGTTTCCGAATGCCAACATAAAGACCCCCAAGGCACCCCAAGAGGCTTTCCAAGGGGCCTTCAAACCACACAAATCGTCCTATTCCCTTTGTAAAACTTATAATTTCAGCATATTCGCCTTTCGGATTTCATCAGCTTTCAAGACGGTTTCGAAGCCCCCGAGATCGCCTCAAGACGCCCCAAAAGGCCCCCAAGAAAACTTCAAGACGGCCGAGCCGGGCCCCACGATCGCCCACGAGAGCCCCAAGACAGCTCATAATAGAACCAAGAGGCCCCCCAAGGGCTCCCAGCACAGACCCCAAAGGGCCATGGGAGGTCCCCGGAAGTGCCCAAGATGGGTCCAAAGGGGGCTCAGCGGGCCCATGCTCCCCAAGACGGCCCAAGAAGGCTCCACGACGGCCCATGAAGGCGCCAAAACTGCCCACGAGGGCCCCGAAAACACCCCCACGATGTTTCCGAATGCCAACATAAAGACCCCCAAGGCACCCCAAAAAGCTTTCAAGGGGGCTTCAAAACACACAAATCGTCCCATTCCCTTCGTGAAACTTACAATGTTAGCATATTCACCTTTCGGATTTCATCAGCTTTCAAGACGGTTTCGAAGCCCCCGAGATCGCCTCAAGACGCTCCAAAAGGCCCCCTAGAAAGCTTCAAGACGCCCGAGCCGGGCCCCACGATCGCCCACGAGAGCCCCAAGACAGCCCATAATGGCCCCCCAAGGGCTCCCAGCACAGACCCCAAAGGGCCATGGGAGGTCCCCGGAAGTGCCCAAGATGGGTCCAAAGGGGGCTCCAGCGGGCCCAAGCTCCCCAAGACGGCCCAAGAAGGCCCCAGGACGGCCCATGAAGGCGCCAAAACGGCCCACGAGGGCCCCGAAAACATCCCCACGATGTTTCCGAATGCCAGCATTCATTGATTTTGCTCCCATGACATTTCACATTGTGACCCAGTCGTTCAGGGTCTCGTGGCATGCAGCGAAGATGCCCGAGGATGCCCCGTACGAGTTGCATATGCATGTTCATACCCTTACACACATACAGTGATATGTACACATGTACGC